ACATATTCAGGGCGTCAAAATTAGTCTAGGAGGGTTTCTAAGAAAATTTCAAAAAAGTCAACACAAAGTCAACATAGAGTATATTCCAGGAATATTCTAAAGAATATTATGAGAATATTTCAGAGAATGTTCCATCTTCTTCTTCCTTTCTCCGATCCCCGGAACTACCGTCGGCCAACAGAAAACCTCGCCAGAAATTTGGGTTTTTGGTCGAATTTCTGGGCAAATTTTAAAGCTTAATAACTCACTCGTTTCTCAACCAAATTTGACCTATAATATATATCAAAATGAAGATAGGAAATTGTAGAATTTGGAGCCTAATGGTTGCTGGAGATGGTCAGCAAATGGGCTGAAAGGTGATTAGTCTGCGGGAAAACTGGGGAACTTGCCGAAAAAATGAAAAACTTTAAACGTCCATAACTTTGTCAATACTCAACAAAATTAAGTGATTCAAATACGAAAATCATACATCTGAATGAGACAAACATATTGGTACCTTTCTTGATGGCTAAATCACCGTGGTTTGGTTGAACAATGGCTCAAAAGCTGTGGAGGTCGTAAAAAAATGGGTAAACTTTAAACGTTCATAACTTCTTCAATTCTTAACCAAAATCGACGATCTTTATATGGAAATGAAGCTACAAATGATGAGAACACATTCGTATTAATTTGGGACCAAGTGATGGCCGAGGTTGGCTGGAAAAATCCTGCAAAGTCGCTGGCCAGTCACCGAAGAACTGGGAGAAAATCCTTCTAGAGCGGTTTTATTGGTCCTGGTTCGATGGTGGTGTTTTCTAGGTAGTGAGTGGTGGTGGTCATTTCTTGCTCAATGGGAATGGTCTGTGGTGTATGAAGATTAGGGAGGACGAGAGATGTGAAATCCCATTTCTGGATTTCACTATTGCAAACTACGTATTTGTATTAAGGAGATTTTATATTTTTTTTTGGGTATTTATATTAAATTTTATTAAATTTAGATTTTAATTAAACTAATTACGAAGTTTGAATTTTGGTCAGTAATCATAAAAAAAAAATTCGTGGACTTTATGAGGTCACACTAAGTATATTTGGATAGAGCTCGATTCTACGAACGCGTGGGCGAAAACCGTTCGTGAATCGGAGTTAAAACGAAAAAAATTAGAGGCTTAAAAAAAAAAGGAGGAGGGGAAAAATGAGAGAAAAAAGAGGAGGGGACCAATCGGAAAAAGAAGAAATGAAGGAAATGAGGGAGAAGAAGATGAGGGAACCAGACCCTTTCTTTGACCCATGACCCAACCCGGCGGCATCCATGTTTTCCGATGCCTTTCACGGTGGTTTCTCTGGTGAACTAAAGGCAATCACCACTTTGAATCGACCTAGCATCCCTTTCTTTTCCAATTTCACAAAAAACCCGAGTTAATTTGGCCTTGATTTCGTGAAGAACTCCCCGGCGAGTTTGTGGGGTGCACGGCGGGAATCCGTCATTTCTGAAGGTAGTAGAGTCGACCACCACCCCCAATAGACTCCCCTCAACCTCAAGAACAAAGCCCATGCATTGGTTGGGGCATCAGAGTTCATTTTGGCGTCGAATCGATAACACCAATTTCTACAGTTTTTGGCAGATCAAGGCGCTTTCAGGCCAATTCCTAGCCAAATTGAACTTTGACCCAGGTATGAAAATTATTCCCCTTGACTTGCTCTACATTTCTATAAAATTTGGTAATTTTTTGGAGTTTGTCAAAAAATTGGGTTTTCGTTTGCCAGAAACCGCCGCATGTGGCGGTGAGTAACCAGTGGGCCAACTCTATCTTTCTATGCTAAATTCAATACCTCGAGTTAATATGTGTCATCCGATTGATGAAATCCCGTCGTTTGAACATATTTTCGTTAGAGACCACCACTTGAATATTATAACAATCGATGATCCGACCGTTAGATCGTTACCAAACTTTAATATGTTATTATATGTAATATTTGAGGACCTTAGGAATTTACGGATTGAAAATCTAGTGGGCGGATCTTCCTAATTGATCTACTAGGTTTGATTTTGATCAAAATGTTCTTAATCGTTCTTGAATACTAAAATTAGTATTACTAAAGACCAAGTAGGGCTTAGTCAGGCAATATCAGTTAGTGAATTATCCCAAGTAATATATATATCTTAGTCTACATGTATGGGATGCCTTATTGTGATATAGATGTGTATTTATCTTCTTGATAATATGAATGACATGTATGGTAACTATTATGACAATGTGAGCTTAGAATCCTATTATAAGTATTCCATTGAACTTGTATGCTTGTGTGACATGTTCGTTAGTAGTCATGAGAAGTTGATAGTGCAGGTGCCTATGTTGTAACTCATAGGGTTTAAGGGGTAGGTTGTGTGTTGAATTTACTGCACCATGTAGCAGTGGTACATGTATGGTCCTGCTTGGTATATCCGCAATAGGGGACATACGTATTTCAGGGGTGATCATGCTTGGTATATATGCAATGGGTGATCATCGTCTATACGATTAGGCTATGCTTATGGTTCTACTTGGTATATCCGCAATGGGGGACCATACGCATTCTAGGAGTGATCATGCTTGGTATATCCGCGATAAGTGATCACTACCTAGAGCTATAGGATACAATCCTGCTTGGTATATCCATGATGGGTGATCCTTGCCTACATAATTAGATTATGTTTATGGTTCTGCTTAGTATATCTGCAATGGGGGACCATACGTATTGTAGGAGTGATCATGCTTGGTATATCCGCGATGGGTGATCACTACCTATAGTTATAGGATACAGTCTTGCTTGGTATATCCGTGATGGGGACTATTAGGGGTGATTATGCTTGGTATATCTGCAATGAGTGATCACTGCCTACGTTATTAGACTATGCATATAGTTCTGCTTGGTTTATCCGCAATGGGGGACCATACGCATTCTAGAAGTGATCATGCTTGGTATATCCACGATGGGTGATCACTACCTAGAGTTAGGATGTGGTCCTGCTTGGTATATCTGCGATGGGGGACTATACATATTTCAGGGGTGATTATGCTTGAAATATCCACGATGGGTGATCATTGCCTGCACGCTTGGATTATGCCTATAGTTTTGCTTGGTATATTCGTAATTAGGGACCATGCGCATACTAGGGGTGATGAGGATTAGTTGTACTTGAAACATTTCAGTAGGTGCCATGTTTTAGTTGGATTCCGTCGAGTGGTCCGGAACCCTTGCTCTTGCTCATTTCCATAAAGTTAGTCTGGAACCCTAGATTTGAGTGAATAAGGATTAACCACAGTAGACCTTGTGAATATAAATTAGATTTATCATGTTATTACTTATAATCCAAGTAGGGAATTATGTAGAGTTCTTTAATTGAATTCGTGAAATGATGTGTTATTTCATTGATTGATTAACGTAGTTAGATGTTAATATCGTGCATCTTTGATTCATGGAATTGATTAATTGATGTGATTGTGGAATGACGTTCGATATGATTGTTATTATTATGATTAGATTAGTTGATCAATGTGGCTTGAGAATAATAATGTGTTTTGTTGGTTCTTTGATATCTTACATGTTGTGGATCTCGTATCATGTTGAAAACATAGTGATTTATATGATGGATGGAATGGAAATCTTGAATGTCTTGTGGGTTTGTTATGTAGCCCTGAATCTAGTAATTCATGCTTGTCAAGTCCCAATAATTGATTGAGGAATGCTATGCCTTCTTGTTAGAACGCATTGGGATAAATGTTTGAGTTTAGTGAATGGTGAACTACGAATGGCTTCATCCCTTCTTAGGGTACGTAGGCGGTCTAACGCAAAGGTTAGATGCAGCCATGAAATAAAAGAAAATGACTGCGTGGTTAAATCATTGATTATGTTTTGGGTCTTGTCTCGGAGGCAAGACATGACAGATAAACAGGAATGTGATGGCGTCACATGTCGATCTTAGACGTATGTCAGGATTGCGGCATGACAAGAGAGGTATGAGGGAAGAGAAAGGTGAGAGTTAAGAGAGAGAGAGAGAGAGAGAGAGAGAGAGAGAGAGAGAGAGAGAGAGAGAAAGAGAGAGAGAGAGTTTGTAGTAATTGAAAATATAAAAAGAGAGGGAGGGAAGAATATCCAGAAAATGAGGGAGGGGAATAGGGGACATCGGACAAATATGTGGGCCCAAGTGGCTCACAGAATAAAATTATAAAATACAAAACGGGAAAATATCTACAAACGTAAGATTATTGAAATGCCCTCAACGTTTCGAAATTCGTAAAGTTTTCGTTATAGCTCCAAATTTAACATGTTTGTGCCTACGCGTTCGTAACAACGAGTACTACGAGGATACACTAATAGAATAGGTTATACGTTTCCCAATATGAGGGTTAACGAAAGTCTATGATTTCGCCTCAAAAGGCATTTTCATAAATTCACACTTTAAAATATAAAACCGTAAAATTAGGACTAGGTTGTTACATTTTCCCTGTCTAATAACACATGAGAAGGGGATGTTATCATTGCACTAAAGAAAAGCAGAAGGGCCACATCAAGGCACATGCTTTTTGATTATTTTTTTTATTTTTGATTTTTTTTACAGTTTTATTTTTATTATTATTATTTTTTACACAATGTTTTTCCTATAACTTCTATTTTTTATTATAACTTCCTATAACTTCTATTTTACAAAATTTGTTTTATATTTTTTCTAAATTATATATTTTTTTCCTATAACTTCTATCTTACAAAATTTGTTTCATATATTTTTTAAATTCTATTTTTTTCCTATAAGTTCCTAAGCCATTGGATTTGAATTTAAGTTGTAGTTTTTAAATAATAAATTATGTTTGGCCCTATGGCCCTCGGTTGGAGACGGTTTTTTGTGACAGGGTTAAAACGAGCCATATGGCCCTCGACTAGAGATGGAGGTAAATATGATCATGTACTGTTAATTAAAATATTAATATCTTAAAGGACCATAAGGTTAAAATGAGTCATCTGACCAGCCTTAGGTTGGAGATGGCTTAATCCCATCTGGGCAAATCCTTCACCATCTTTCCAATGCGCCCTAAAACCAGCCACTACCATCGTTTCACCTTTCACTGATGTTACCACCCTCCACGCTCATTCCCCGCGCTTCCACTAGCCACCCCCGTCTACAAATTACAAAGAAAGATACCCCATATTCAATCCATCCTTAATAATTTCTCAAATTGTACTATATAGTAAGAACAAGAAGTTGAATCGAATTGGGTTCGTTGGATTAGAATTGGAATCAGTCTCTCATCCATCAGCGGTTGCGATCGCTCTTAATTCCGGCGGAAGAAATGGCGATGAAATGAAGGAACGACAGTGCTGGCAACCAGAAGAAGACGCCTTGATGCGATGGGTCAAAAGAGTGGAGCCTTGCCTCCCAGTGGATGGGGAAGTTCCTCTTCCATGACCCAAAGTCCTGCCTGGAGCGATGGAAGAACTATCTAGAGCCGAGCCTGAAGAAAGGTTGACCTCGGAAGAGCAAACCCTCGTCGTCTCCCGCCAGGCCAAGCATGGCAACAAGTTGAAAAAGATCGTTGCCAAGCTCCCTGGTCACACCCCCAAGCACCTCGGTAAGTCGTGGGAGGTATTTAAGGAAAATCATATCAAGTTGTAGTCTCAGAGGCAAAAGAACAAACAATTTCTGTTCAGTGAGCCTGACGTTGTCTCCCTCTGATCTCGACCCAGACCCGACCCGTTTTCATCAAATGGGCACTCTGATTCAGCTGTGTAAGGAGGTGGATGACGGGAGGTAGAGCTGGATGCAGTAGAAGAATGAGGCAATGTGGCGGCTGAGTAGGCTAAAGCAGCAGCTGGAGTCGGTGAAGGGAAGGAAGCGGAGAGAGGCGGTGGAGAAATCGAGGCGAAGATAAGGTGTTTGAGAGAGTATGAGGCGGCATTCGTGGGGAGAATCGAGAGGGATTACAGGCAACAGGGAGGAGCGGAGCATGCCGCAGAGGGAGGCGGAGGGCAATGAGGCCAAGAAGCTAGCGAAGCTTGTTTTGGGGGGGGGGGGTGTTTGCGGTGTCAGGGTTTATAATCATGGTTTTAGCAGTAAACAAAGTTAATTAGAATCCAATTATGTGGTTTGGTTTTGTTTTGGAATTTCACCTAAATTAACATTATCCTCAAGTTGTCAGCTTTCTTTTCTTTAGTTATTTTGTGAAATTTTGTGTTTCAATAATTTTGACATTCCTACAAATCTCATAATTGAAATCGTTTTTTCCTTAAAGATTATTTTTAGAAAAAAAATTGTGTAAGTTGAAGAGTAATGTTATTCATACAATATTTTTATACCACATTTTCATACCATCTTAGGTGGCATTTAATGTGGACAACCACATCATTTGAATTAATTAGATTTTTAATTTTAGTTCATTATTTAATAAACTAATAATTAGGAAAAACTAGTTAATGAAATTATGATTGTGATATACGAGGAGTCTTTCTCCTTTATTTCCTTGGGTTTTGCAAATTTTTCAAATGATGTGGCTGTCCACATTAGATGTCATCTAAGATGGTAAAAAATATGGTATAAAAACATGGTATGAATAACATTTGTATGTGTAGAACAAATAACGATTTTTGTTTTACTCCATAAGAAAGGCCAAAAGTTGGTCGGAGGTCATCGGAAAATGGCTTGAAAGTGACGGCTCGATTTTGAGTTCACCGTTTTCGTCTGTTTCGAAGTGGATTTAGGCATGCAAGCTCAAACCCATGGCCTAGGGGTAGTAGGAAGTTGTCGTACACCTTCAAACTCAACCACAACAAGAAGTTTTTGTTGGGTTTAGCTTGGAAAAACCTACAACTCGCCAAAAAACATGGTGGGTTAGGAAAACGTCTATGCGTTCACCAACACATGCATGCAGTGGCGGATCCAAGAAATAATATTAGAGAGGTCAGTAAGAATAGTGTGCGCACCATACAAATTTTTTTAAACAAAAATATTTTGCATATCGTTATTTCATCGAGTGTTGGTAGGCATGAAGTCATTTGGGATGACATACTATGTCACATCCCAGACCGGCTCCGCCGTAGCAGGATATTGTCTGCTTTGGGCTTACCATTCCCTCACGGTTTGGTTTCTGGGAACTCACGAGCAACTTCCCAGTGGGTCACGCATCCTAGGATTGCTTTAGCCTGAATTCGCTTAACTTCGGAGTTTCGATGGAATCCGAAGCCAGTAAGTTTCCAAAAGGCCTCGTGCTATATGGAGTTGGGCATGTACATATAAGGCACATCACCCCTCTTCGTTGGTCGATATGGGATGTTACAATCCACCCCTTAGGGGCCCGACGTCCTCGTCGACACACTCGCACCACACAGCAGAGTGGCTCTGATACCATTCTGTCACATCTCAGACTGGCTCCGCCGTAGCACGATATTGTCCGCTTTGGGCCCTGGCCACGCCTTCACGGTTTTGTTTCTGGGAACTCATACAAGAACTTCCCAGTGGGTCACCTATCATGGGAATGCTCTCGCCCGAACTTGCTTAACTTCGGAGTTCCGATGGAATCCGAAGCTAGTGAGTTCCCAAAAGGCTTCGTGCTATATGGAGGTGAGCATGTACATATAAGGCACATCACCCCCTTTCCGTTGGTCGATGTAAGATGTTACATACTGCACACCTGTTAATGCCTCATTTGTGTGGGTAACTAATATGTTCCAAGGCTGCTCCCATATGAATGCTTAACAAAGAAACACACTTATCTTGAACACACTAACAATGTTTGATATCATTGCATCCCATTAATATATTTGTCCAAGAATGATGATGCTTTGTTATTCTATAAGATCACCATTTCATTTACTTTGCATTTTTGGATAGTTTTTTACTTGGTTCTTTTTTTCCGCCTACAATTGTAATCACAACCAACAAACAAGTTAAAGGTAAATAATATTAGGACTATACTGTAAAGGGGCAACACCTCTCTAATGCATTTTATCAAGCAGTTGAAGGGCATATATGATGGGCAACTCCAACCTTTAAAGGGGCAGCACCCAAGTCATCTATGGACATTCGTCAAAGTTCGGAGGGTCAGCACTCAAATTATCCCTGAACATTCATTGAAGTTCGGGGGTCAGCTGATCCCCCTGCCCTCAATACATACGCCCTTGCATGCATGAAACCTTGTTAGAACTTGAAGAAAACCTTGAGAAGATCGTCAAAGCTTACTGAGATAGAAGTGGTTTGATTTGTCGGTTCCGTCGAGATACATAACAAAAAATGTATATTTTTTCCAAGCTAACCACGGCCACAAGGTTTTGGATGAGTTGTAGAGATCATTATGAAGCTTTTGGGTGAGTTTGTGAATTTTTTAGGAGTGGTGTGGTGGTGTTTTGGAGGGTTGCTAAGAGGAGGGTGAGGAGAGAGAGAGCTGGAAAAGAGAGAGATAGGGGTGTGTTCAAAAAACTGAAAACCGCACCGAAGTCGAAAAAAAACTGAACAAAAAAAAAATTGAACCGAAACTGCCAAAATTGAACCAAACCGAACCTGGTCAGTTCGATTTCGATTTTTGAGATCTGGAAACTGAATTGAACCAAAAAAAAATCATATATAAATAATAAAAAACATGTTAGCGTCAAGGTTGGGTAGTTGCTTCAAGCCAACTTGACTGTAAGCTTTGTGTTATTATAGTTGTACCGGTAATTTATTTATAGGTTTCTAATATTTAACGCTATATAAAATTTCTTAAGTTACAAACCTTAGCCGTCACTCACACTCCCATTTCAGTTTTTCAGCTTTTCCCAAACTCTCTCTCTCCCTTCCGCTGTTTCCTTCATGAGTCTCTGCTTTTGCTTCCTCAATCTCTCTCTCTCTCTCCCCTTCCTTTCTTCCTCTAAATCACTCTCTCCAGTCTTCTCATGTCCTCCTCACGGATTCCTTCTTCCAAACCATGATTTCCCTCCCCCCCTTTCGAATCGGAACCCCTCCGAATTGAGAGATTCTAATTCTGGTTTTTCGATCTCGCACAGGTAATTTTGGAATCAAAATGAATATGATTTATATTGTGATTTTTTGAATTAAAATGGGTTTTTCTTTTAATTATTTTGTTAGGGTTTTGCATATTATAATCTTCCAATTTGGCAACAGATGCATAAGTGTTGCCATGGCTGACAAGAGGTTTGGGACTAAAAATAAACCCCCAAGGTAAAAATCTCTTATGGCCGCTATTTAGTTTTATTGGGTTTATTTTCATGGAAAAATCAAAGATTTAACACATGCATGCTTTTTCTCTGCGAGAGCTCTCGGATCCACAACAAGAAAGTCGCACCGACACCCAATAATGTTAGATCCATGGCCGATCATCCCAGTTCGTATTCATTTGATGCAGAAGTTTGTGCATCTTCACTGCTTAATCGTTGCAGATTTCTTTTAGATTAAAAAAAATCATGGAAAAAACCGAAAATAAATCAAAACCGAACCCAAAAAAATCAAAACCGAAAAAAATTGAACCAAACTGAATTGAATCGAAATTTCGGTTCAGTTTCTGTTTTGGCAAAAAACCAAACCATTTCGAACTGAACCCAGCCCTAAAAAGAGAGAGAGAGAGAAAAGAGAAATGGCTAAAAAGAAAAAGAGAGTAAGAGAAAAGAGAGACAGAGAAAAGAGAAACGGCTAAAAAGAAAAAGAAAGAGAGTAAGAGAAAAGAGAGAGAGAGAAAAGAGAATCGGCTAAAAAGAAAAAGAAAAAGAGTAAGAGAAGAGAGAGAGAGAGAGGCGGCTAAGTGAGGGAAAAAGGAAAAAAAAGGTGATGAGAAGTATGATGTCTCTAATGGATTGAATGACAGGATTAGGATTTTAAAATGAAATTTTAACGAAAAATTTTTAATACTATTTATTTTAACAAAAAATTATATTTTTATATTAAAAAATTAATCTTGATATTATTCATTTTACCTTTTATTTTATCATTTTTGATAAAACTCAAAATTTTTAATTTTTTTAATTTTTGTTTTTTTTTTTAATCTATCAAAACTATTATTTTAATCGCACTTGCATGCTCTGAATTTTCATCAGAATAAGTGCAAGCTTTCATTCTGCACAAGGTCCCACTCACACACTCAAATCTAATAAAATATTAATTAAAACTAACTTGTTTTTCTTTAATCAAATCAATCAACTCATGTAAGTTTTTACATTGCACGAAGACTGATTTCCTGTTCCAAAAAGAACACATGCAGTGGTGCACGCTGCATAACCAGAAAATTCTTTGTTCATGTATTTTTACACAATATCGAACGTAACATATTTGTTATAATTATGAATTGAATTCTGTTTGAGGCTACGTGTTTGTAAAAATAAGTATTATTTAGAAATAGTAAAATAAGAGTGGAAAAGTGAAAGGAAAATTGAGATTCATGTGGAAGGCTTACGTGGCATCTCAGGAACATTTTAGAAATTTCATTGCTACAGGGAATCAAATACATTAAATCTCGGAACGGGATGTCACACACTACATTTGGATAAGGGAATTAACTTAAAATTTGTACAAAAGCGAGAATTTATAAATTTACGTGCACAAATTCCCTCGTCTGGATTAAAAAAAAATTGAATTTAAAATTTTCGCATGAAAAAAAAAATTTAGAATTTAAAACCTCAAATTTCCAAGTTTAAATTTAATATAAATAGTTGTCATTTCCTAATTTCAATGAGTGAGAATTTGGGACCAGCACCACCCCACCATCATAGCCATCATGTGCCGATTCCACTACCTACCATCATCACCATTGTCGTCACCACCCACCATCATCACTAATTTGCTGTCATCTCCACCACCACTACTAGCATATTTCTTAACTACTATCTCTCATCTACATATTAACGACTCAATACCCACATTAAATTTCATCTTTTTTAAGTTAACTAAAAAAAAGAATATTCACAAGTTTTAAAAAATAAAATTCAATCATTTCAAATTTTTGTTAATTTAAAATTCTTTAATAATTTAAAATTTCATCATCTAAACGAAATGTAGATGAAAATGTGAAAATGCGCTAGTTGAAATAACTGAAGTACCCTTGATTGCAATGCATGACAGTGGTCGCGTAGGGTCTGTGTTTAGAACCCCGGCACCGTATGCACAAGAGCCGTTGTAATTACACATGCACAAGAGCCGTTCTAATTACACATGCACTCCAGACTGCCTAATCGCAGACCTTCGTCGTTGACGCCAGAGAAGCAGAACGACGAGTACCCATATGACTCAAACTCTGATATGGGTTCTGATTTGCCAATTGCGTCTTAGAAAAATTAGAAAAAGAAACAAGGGAGATGAACAGAGAAAAATAGGAAGAAAAATGTGGAGATGAAAGGGGAGAGGGACAAAGAAAAAGAGGGATTAGGGCGAAGAAACAGAGGGAGTGGGGAGGAAAAAGCGGGAGAGGACGGAGCAAAGAAATAGGAAATAGGAAAGCACTACAGACGGAGGTTTCTAGAGTGGAAAAATATAGTCAAAAGTAGGAATAAAATAATAATAAATTTGAATTAATAATATAAAATAATAATTATTAGTGAATTAAATAATATAATATCAGAATTTGTTATTGTTTTTAGTTTTTAGTCCGACACTACACCAAACGCTTCACTAAGTTAGTCTAACTTAGTCTAGTCTAAACCAGTCCAGCTTAATCCCTAAAGCTAATCCAGTCCGAGATAGTCCGACGCAACAAACGCACCCTTAATGCACTCTCTGTTCCTTTTATAACAAATAGGTTGTTTGGGCCGATTGAGTAGATCGTTAGTGAACTCCCGATTCCAGGCGCAAATAAAAATATAATACCCTTGGAAACTCATTAGATTATTGGCTTATATGTCAAAATGGTCTATGTGTTAGTTATTTGGCTAATTTACTCTCCATGTTTTCAATTTGGATAATTTAATTATGGTGTTTGCCTCCGTTAGTCAATTAAGGATATTTCATTTAATCTCTGTTAATATTACAACCATTATAGAATTTTTTTTTTCCAATTAAATAGAAAGAAATATAATTCCAAGATAAAATAAAATAAAATAAAAAATTTAAACAAACCCATCTTGCCATCCGCCTTGTCCTTGATCCAAACCTCAACCCTAGCCACACATGCTTGCAACTAGACAAACACGTCTCTAGGTCCACCTCGAGACACATATAATAGATAAAACTTCCAATCTAAAAAATTCTTAAGATTGTGACATTAAAAAGAGTGTTGGGGAAGAAAATTGGGAGAGGAGAGAACTTTAGGGAGGTGGTGGAGTTGGGAGGAGATTAAATATTTTTTTTAAAAATTTTATGAATAAATTTATAATAATTTGGCTAATGGAAATAAACTTGAGAATTAAATTGGCCAAATTAAAAATAGAGAAACAAAATTGGCCAAAAGACTATAACAGGTGAACCATTTTGACATATAAGGTTAGATTATTTGTGGGTAGGTTTGCATAAAGGGACATGACAACTATAATTGCCTAGAAGACCACAACTTTATAATCTTTACCCAGAAGAACAAAAATAAGTAAATAGACCATTCCAAGACCAAATACATTGAACACATGTCCATATCATTTCCAGCTGAACAAAAATTGTTTAAACATATTCTAATACTACCAAGTATAAACAAATTAGTAGTAGCTTGTACGACCAAATCGAAGAAAATCCAACAAAATAAAGTGTTGCATAGTAGAAACGCTAGGCAATCTGTAAATACACATGATTTGTTCATATAATTTCATACTAGCCTTCAAGCACGTTCTCACGCTCGTGCAGAAACCATTTTTTGAATCACGGCATGCTACGCACGACTTACACGTTTTAAATGTATTTTTATTCGTAAATTGACAAAAGGAAAGTCAAAATATTTGAAGTAAATGAATAATCTTACGTCATGCTAGAAGAAACTCCTCATAAACCAATTAAAGCAGCTTAATCCACATAATAAAATCGGTTTTTATTGAATTTATATTAAGAATAAAGAAAATAATATATAATAAACAATTGATTGAATTATATTATTGCTAACTCATTGTGAGGCTAAGTCCCCCCCTCCTCCTTAATGTAGATAATATCATTTGTTAAAAAAAAATTAATCATTTGACAACTAATTTAATTATATTATTATCTACGTGCGAAAGACCTTGTTTTATAACCGGCATTACACGCATCTTAAAATGTTTTGAACATGTTTAAAAATAAAGAAAATAATATTTAATGAACAACTGATTGAATCACATTATTGCTAACCTATTGTGAGGTACTAATTATAATAAATAAAAAAAACTGTACAAAAAAAAATTAATTATTAAAAAAACATTGTTAAAATGACGAGAATACACCTACCACATTTGATGCATTATTTTGGGTTGCTTTTGACGTTTTTTGTTTGAGGGGCATTTTTGTTCAATTATTTTTAGTGAAGCTTGTGACATAAAAAACACTGTTCATTGTGCCTTGGCTTTCTATATAAAGATGAAATAGACGGCTGGAATGATTTCTTGATTTGAATTAACCTTAAACACACAGGACGTTTGGCAAGCAGAGGGGGTCATGTCGGGCAAGTTACAAGGCAAGCAACTTTGAATGCAATTGCAAATGAAGTAGTTTCACAGGGACCTCACAATCCTATTGCAAGTGAAGGCGGTTCAGAAGGGTCACAAACCAAGTCATTGATAGCAAGGATATGCCAAACGGTCAAGCTTACTGCTCCGAGAGCAAGGATGTGGAGGCCATAAATTTAACTAATAATTTGTCTACAGTATGTTAAATGCTGGATGACTTTTGTGATCGCTGCCTTGAACTTTAGAAAATGGCAGATAATTATGTTTTGTAAGCAATGCCTTCAACTTTAGCAATTGGCAGCGCTAAATGTGTGTTTGTATGCACTACCTAGAACTTTAGTAAATGGCTATTTATTTTGTGCAGTTGGTTGATGATTTCATAATGCCACATTAAAAGTTAATAAAATCGTTCTTTGTTATTGTTCTATTAAGTATTTAGGAAGATTCAAGTTTTCTTTCATATTTAAATTGTGAATTGGGGAAAAACTGGTGGGAAATGATTTAGGGGAGAAGGGATAAATGAAATAACAGATAAAAAACGAACTTACCCTCAAAACTAACTTAAAAGTAGATGAATTTTTTCAAATCTGATGGCAAAGGGTTAATTGATTGATTTAAAATAGTTCAAGGGGTTAATTTACCATAAAAGAGAAGTATTCACTATAAAGTTCGATGGCTAAAGAGTTGCTGATGCTCAACTCAGTTAAGTCTGAGTAAGGTATTAAGCATTGTATTTATAAATGATGATTTACATAAGTTAGTTACAAGGAGTCTTATCTCCTATTATACAAAACTGAAATATACATGAGATAATATAAATAATTACAAGTTGAAGAGTTGGAGATAAATCCCAACTCTTCCTGGAGTATATTCGACAAAGTTGTTCCAACAGACTTGAGCTGGAAAGGTTGTTTGAGATATTTGAAAAATCATGGCTTATCAGCAATAGTTTAGAGGGTCAAATGACAGTTTACTCATGTGCATAGTTAGTCATAAACTTAGGATGCATTTGTTTCATCGGACTATCTCAGATTGGATTAACTAAGTTGGATTGGCTTGACATAGACTAACTAGTATAAGAATAATGGAGCGTTTCATACATTGTCAGATTAAGTCACGAACTAAATTATTTTTGAAATCTAAATATTTTTTTGTCATTTTTTAATTTCTCTCCCCCTCATTCTTATCCTTTCCAAATGCTTCTTGTTCCTTTCTTTTTCCTTTTTTTTGGATCAAAGATTCTCCATTTGTTTCTACTCATTCCGTTTCTTTTTCCTTTCCTTTTCAAATTCAGGAACTGGGTACAAGTCGATGAACTCCAACTAGATAAAAGATTTACCGATCAGAGCAGGCGTTGGTGTTGTAGATGGTGTGGTCGAGCACGAACGCGCAGATCGGCGTCAGCGTCGAGCTTTGTGTGAATGCCAATTTGGATTTGCTTACCTAGAGAGGCATCATGGCAATCGAGCAGGACGAGGAGAGAGGGAGAGAGTGTGGTAGTCTGGTGGTGTGATTTCGTTGGATTGAGTACAGAAAGCAAGCAATGAGAGCAGGAGAGTAGAGAGCAAACGAAAGGAGGAGGTCTAACCAGTACCATGGTTTTTAGGGGGTTTCGCTAAGATCTCCTAACGAAGAGGTTTGTCCATGCAAGTTCTCTTTAGTCTCATTAATTGTAATCCCAACATAGAACAAACACGGGACTAGACTAAGAAATAATCCATCTAGTCAAGTGATTGTAAATGAGGCCAAACAATCACATCGTTATGGTGCACAAAATAAACATTGCTTATAAGAGAAGATTTGAAATCTTGATTGAAGCAACAGTTCCTAAAATGCTAATAGAATTCATCTTTGAGCAGAGTACATTACTTCCTTATTTTATTAAATGTGACTCAGAAATAAACTTTCTTTCATAGGATTTTTCTAAATTTATCATGTCTCACTAAGTCACTTCAAATGACTCTTTTTGGTATTTTTGCAACAATTTAAAAGTATATATAACAACTACACATGTTTCCACGATCTTTCTCCCTTGCCTTTTGCTCAAATTTTCCATTTCTGTTTGAAAGTAGCAAGACACTCCACTACTGGTACCGAGGCCAGGTAGAAGGTTGTATGTTAACTCCGAACAATCTCACCATTCCATCATCTTGAGCCGTCCCTAAAGGCTGACCAACCCTACCATGCATCTCCCTGATCCCCGACACGTCGACGTTTCTTGGTCTACAGTCAATGAACAGCTTCTTATCCTCCCCTACTGATCTCTCAAACCTCACAACATCACCAGCTTTCAGCTTCTTCTCCTTCACAAAGCGAATCCACCCTTTGCTCAACACATAGCTCTGACTACTACTCCAATAACAATACCCAAACCTCCACACATTACCCAACTCATCCTCAAATTTCAACAACACCCCCTTACCAAACCCTACACTCAGATGAACCTGAAAATGCTTCTCGGCATGTTGTTTTGGTATAACCATGCGGTTCAATCTCCCTACATCGCTTGGTGTTGCCACTTTCTCGAAAAGCAGCTCCCTCTCGCTACTACATGTGTCCATTAAATCAAGGTGACACTTCATACGCTTTCCGCCGGCATCAAGGCCTAGGGCACCACCATTGTACAACTTATGCTTGTACATCTCGAGCTCGTTGGCATAAGAATGTTTTCGAAGCATGTCAACAATCTCAGCCTTGGAATGGGACTCCAAGAAAAGAGCCTCAGTGACATCACGTTCGTAGGGTGTCATTTGGTTCGGACTGAAATTTGTGATGGCATCAAGACCCCGGAACTTTAGCGAAGCAATGTTGTAGGTTTTAGCAGCTTCTTCTTCATCATCGAAGGTTCCCAACCACACACGATGACTCTTCTCGTATATTTGAGCTCCCCATCTGCCATTTGACTGGGGCACTACTCCTTTGTAGCTAGAAGAAGGCAACTTGTTTGAACTGGCAGCCTTTGCTCCAATCACTGTTGAGTAGTCCCTTGTGCTTCTATTCCAGCAACTCATCAAATCCATTAGTTAATTAATCTTACTGAATTTATATAATGCACACAAAAAAATAGAGTAAAATGAGTGGAGAATATGCAGTGAAGGTTTTCTAGCTAGGGTATTGGGACCGGAAGAAGAGAGAACGAGAATCAAACTCTATTTCTAGCGTAATTTGACCTGTGGGAAGAAGATGATGCGAATAATTGGTCGGACTTCCACACTCTATAGTTTGATTAGTTCGTATTTCTTCAGAATTGAGATTCTCGCAAACTGACCTACAAAGATGAAAATGAAACACTGTTTTTAGGGTTTGTATTTGGATTCGCAAGAAGTGGAGAACTAGAACCAGAGTCTTTTTCTGTAAATTTGGTTCAAAAGGTTGAAGGTAGGCAGGACCAATCGCCGTTCTAATTTATATAATTATAGAAGTGGGTGATGTTAAAAATAGATGTGTGCAATTCACACATTCATTTTTACTTCTAGCACACTTTTTATTAATTTTTGCTCTTTGATCTTCTTTAATTCAATCGATCAGACGGCTACAAATTAAAAAAGTGAGTATGAAATAAAAAGAGATGTGTAGATAGCACATCTCTAAAAATATTGGTCGTAAGACTATGTATTAATAGTAAAACCGACTTTAGCAAGTGGGATGGTTTCACAAAGAATTTTACATTACTTTATTGAAACTTTCCTGTTATATATGCCTTACCTGATACGATCTAAAACGAAATAAAAAGGAAAAGACTGCTTCTAGAAATTAGAATTCCTTCTTCTCACCTCCTTCTAATAATCGTGTGTGTTAAATGTGGGAAGGGGGAATTTTACCAGAAGGAGTTCACTGTTTATGTCCTATTTAGATCTAATAATGCATTGTCATTATGTGAAAAAAGAACTATACATACACTATTAAATCAGACGCCAATTGACTTATTCTATTTAAGTCATTTTCGTTAGAGGAGTAGTTGAAATTTCAAAGGCTGGATGTGTCCTTTGTGAAATTCACTAACATATCCTTTGCCCAACACTTTGGCATGTTATTCCAGCTTGGCTGTATCGCGTCTGCATCTTTTCTACAAGCTTCAGTTAGAGGAATTACTGTTAACTTTGTTTTCTATGAACCCAGCTGAAATAAAGTGCATAATTAGATTGTGATCCTTAATAAAATGTGCATCTAATTAAAATAGGGTGTATATGAAGAAACTTGAGGTTCCATCATAAAACCAATTGACAATATGATGAGTAGCTCAAATACTTATAAGCTCATGCAAGGTCCCTTCCACCAATGTGAGACTCATTCTCAACACGCTTCCTCACGTGTGACGAATTTTTAAGTCTAACGCTGAACAACACAAGGGGGTGACATGAAGCGTTTGTGGCCGTTTGACTCACATGCGGGACAACTTGGCTCTGATACCATAAAGAAGGTTGAGCTTCCACATAAAATCAATTGACAATATGAGGAGTAGCCCAACTATTTCTAAGCTCATGCAAGGTCTTTACTCCCATCAATGTGGGACTGATTCTTAACAATATAAGATTGAATATTGAATTTGATTGTTTTAGTAAAAATTAGCTCTTCACTTAGTACTACGGTCTATTGATATTCATCTTCTCTTATAAGTGAGAGGTTTTAAGTTCGATTATCGTCAAAAGCGATTTCGAACCAAATTATTATGGCTAGCCCAATATGAGACTTAATCTATTCCCCACTCTTAGTATAGATAATATCGTATGTATTAAAAATTAGCTGATTATTATTGACTTTTTAAGTTTGTTTTCTTTTGCATTTTATTAAACTGATTTTTAATTAACGTGTGCATTTTACAAGTTCATATATAGGTCCTAATAAACATACTAGGTTTCCATATAATACGAGCTTTTACTCTTATAATGTTAGAGGTATCAAATGATATCGTGGCTAAGATTTTGAGAAGAAGAATAACTTGTTCAATTCAAATCCATCTTTCTTCAAATATTCATACCAAAAGCCAGAATTCATGCCAATAGTTTCTTCCTCTTATATTTTTTATATTGTGCACTTGTGCATTTTTATGTGAATTTCTTTCCCTATTTATGGACATATATTTATGCCCCTATATATATATTTATATTATATATATATGTACCTATATGGTTTCAATATTCATCTGTCTATCTATATATCTATACCTATGTATTTTTGTATACCGGATGTCCGTATATGTAAATATGTGTAACTATATATCATCTATATGTACCCTTGCTGTGAACGGTTATAGCTCCATCATTTTGAAATTTGATTTGAGTATTGCTCATTTAATATGTGGAAGTGTAATTCCTATTTTTAAAGATTAATTGATGATTGAATTGAAATTTTCAGGTGAAAATATGGTAAATAATGATAGTGGTAAAAGTACCTTAATATCACATGACATTGAGTTTTAAGGGAGGACCTAAATTGGATTGGCAAAACCATTCAGGCTGTCATGTAAGAGATAAATGCCCCTAAAATAAATTAGTAGTTGTTGTAGACATAATTTACTGAACAATTAAAGAGGCCATACAGAGAGAGGGGGTGCAGCACATAGAGAGAAAGAGAGAGATGTGTGATTGTGGGTGTGTTCTATTCCACCCCATTGTGCCTTTATTTATAGTAGTAAAATAGGTAAAAACCTTTCCCTTTAGGATTACAACATTTAATAGGTAATCAACTCCTAATAGGAATATAAGAGATATTTCAAGATATATTAGGATTTATACAATCACAGTCCTATTCTAATAGGATTGCAACAGTAGCTACGGAATAATAAATACTTTTGATTGCCCAGTAGATCCAAAGTCTCCAAATACGTGTATATGTACCTAAAAGGTGAATTTTACATAAGTTAATATTATAGTGTAGTGATATTAGTGACAGATTTTAGGTTTGGATGTCATAAATAAATTGATCCAAAATTTTCTTCTACCCCCTTAGTGTAAATATATCTTCATATAAAAAAATTGAAAATCTTCAAATCGAAAAAGCCAAATGGTGAGCATGTAAGGTTTAATTTTGGCAACCACTTAGTACTACAATTTAGTGGTATTCATCTTCACTTGTTTGAATTTCGGTAATAACAGGTTTGCATCCAATTTATTCTCTCACTCCTTGTGTAAATATATATTATTGTGTATAAAAAAAGTTTTAATTTTAATAAGAGGCTAAGAACATTTACTTTTAAACTCGAGGTTCCAAATTTGATTCCTACCTTCCCATCATTACTTGTAAATGTATAAAAGTGTTGTAGACATAATTTACTGAACAATTATGGAGGCCATAAAGAGAGAGTGTTCGGCATAGAGAGGTAAGAGGGAGATGCGTAATTGTGGCTGTGTTATATTTCACCTCATTGTGCCCTTATTTATAGTAGTAGGATAGGTAAAATCCTTACCCTTTTAGAATTACAACTCTTAATAGGTAATCAACTCCTAATAGGAATATAAGAGATATTCCTAGATCTACTAGGATTTACACAATCACATTCCTAATTTAATAGGACTGCAACACTACCCCATGAGTGTGTAAATACTCAAGTAAACGTGTCACATCTCGACCCGGGCTCCACCACTTCCCATGCTTCGCTTCCATTGTAGCACGATATTGTCCACTTTGGGTCCCCGACCATACCCTCATGATTTTTTTCTGGGAACTCACACGAGCAGAACTTCCAGTGGGTCACCCATCCTGGGAATTGCTCTGGCCCATTCTCGCTTAACTTCGGAGTCCCTACGGAACTCGAAGCCAATGAGCTCCCAAAAGGCCTCGTTCTATTTGGAGGTGGGCATGTACATTTAATGCATAGAGGATCACTCCCCTGGGCGATGTGAGATCTAACAATGTTACGGAAGTGAGGAGTTTTCTAGGTCTGACTGGCTATTATCGAAAATTTATTCAAGGTTTCTCAGCAATTGCCCTGCCTTTGACTAAGTTGACTTGGAAGAAGGTCACAGGGTGGGGGAGAGAGAAAGAGAGTGAAAAGTGAGGAGTGTTGGGGTGCTACCATGTGGCAGTTTGAGGATGTAGACAAACCCATTTTCAGATCCTGATTGGGGTGAAAAGCTAAGGGTTTAATAGTTAATTCCATTAATTTTTGGGGAAAAACGAAATTATACATATAATTGGGGGGGGGGGGTGTGGTGTAACAAAATCGCACATGAAGTCTTCAGTGATAAAGAAAGTATAGTTGATGAAGTCGTCGGAGCAATGAGCGAATGCGATCCTCAAATCAACGGAAGAATGCATAAAAAGTAAAACTCACAAAACCTCGCTATGGTAAAACCCAAGGTGGGAGAAAAACTCATAAGCTAAGGAGAAAAGTGAGAAGTTGTATTAAGTCAGAACTATATGTCTTCTGGACGCAAGTAGAAGAGCTCACAAGGGTATGATCAGCTTAGGATGGGTGCCTCATTAAAACCTAGTTAGGTAGCAAAAACCCAGTGGAAAAAATGCACCTAAGCGTACGAAGAAAAAAAATACATTAAGATTAGGTGAGTATACTTCTGGATACTCCTCATGAGTTTGACATAGCTTCTAAATGAGAACTGCAACCATTGCATATGAATAGTTAGGCATACCAATTCTTCAGACAAACTTCTGAAAGATTAACTTCGGCAGTGACGTCGTGTAGAGGTCGGCAAGTTTGTCTGGGATTGGCTTGCATGACTTTAATGTCTTGGTGCTTTGCTGATATTGATGTAGACGCAATATGTCTTGGCATTGACTTTGTTGATGTATCATGTGTTGGTCAGGTGGATACATGCGGCATAGTCTTCATGGATCGTCGTTGGGACTCAATGATGGATGAAAACAACAAGTACTTTGAATATGCTCAACAATAACTCCTACCCATGTCTCGCTTGTGGCGTAATGAAGTGAGGTGAGTCTTGGAACGATTCGAAGATTTCGCAACTAAGGTCATATCGTGGACCTCCAAGATATTACGATATCCCTAACAGTAAAGATATAACCATTCGAGGATTTTGCCTTGTGCGTGTCTGATAAGTAACCAGTCAGCATAACAAACAAGGCAATCATCATTATGAGGATCATGGAGGTTGGATCCACTCAAGATGCATTGGGATTTGATTTACCCAAATTCGTAGAACCTTCAGGGTACGTCTTTAATACCAATTCAGTAGTTACATGTAGGCGCAGTGCTGCATCATTACCAATAGATCAAGAGCGAATGAGATATCCTGTCTAATACAATTAGCTAAGTACAACAAAACGCAAAGTTGACCTTTAGATATGGAATTTCGGATTCCATAACCTCTTCAAGGGTCTCATTTGCATATAACATATGGACGATCATAGGTATACTCAAAGGTAACACATTCGAGGTGT